GAACTTGCAAACAAAGAAATTAGATGCAAAACTATATTTGCTTTGTTGGAATATGTGGTGGTATTAGAAACAAATGGTGATCTCGAGTGAAACATGACCTTCTAAATAAGCATTGAGAGAGCAAGAACCAGCGAAATCAATTACATTTAAATACAATTAATTTTTTTAATTCAGCAAATTCAGTCTCGTTTTTTGGAGGAAACCTTCGACATATTTGAGGTTACAGTCGAAGAAAACGGGAAGGGTGATCAAGCAATAGAAATGGATTTTTTAATATTAATTTTTCAGTGTGTTTTCATTGCAAATTACAGACGAACTCAAACGATTGTCAGTTGCTTAGCTGCAGATCTGTAGCGTTATGGTTTTATATATTTGTCTTTGACCATAACGCTACAGATCCTGTAATGCAAAAAAGGTGCAATTTACGGTGCAATATTTGCATATCTACTGCTCTCTCCCACTATGAAGTCATCAACTGCGTTCATAGACCTATAGACGCAGCTGCTTCTACTATAAGTGCATTTGCTCTATCAAACCTGTGTCGAACAATCTGTACTACAATTACATACTGTGTTGAGAAGTATATATATGAAATGTTTCACAAGAGGAATAAAAATAAGTTTTTAATAATATTCTTTGAAAAAAAAGGAAATTCAGAATATTTAAAATTGCTGATTTGTATCTTTAAAAATTCAATTCTGGTCAATGTTTTTAATTGTATAATAAAATTTTTTAAGAATTGTAGAGAACTGCCATATTTTTATTTTTTGTATCATGCATATTTGAACAAAGAACGATAACTCTTCACACTTGGGTAATAACATTCAGAAAGAGAAAATTTCTTTAACTAGTATAATCTATTTCAAGAATGATTTCAGCTATTAAAAATAAATAGAAAAACTAAAAAAAAATTATAGAATAGCATTCTGGAGTAATAATCATTTCTCATTTTTCATCATAGTGTTAAATTATTGATTTTTATCAGAGGGTTTTAATAACGTTGATCGATGACGTCACAACTGCATCAAAACAAAAATGTGATGACGGCGCTGCTTTTTTCCAGATAACTGTGTTTGAGAGGGAAATACTTTATAAATATGTTTGTGATTTATTAGAGAAAAGTAGCATTAATCAGGTTTACTGATTTTAAAGACGCATGTTTTTCTTCACTGAAGACAAGAAGCTGCGTCCTTATATAAGTCAGGATTTCCTCTGAAATTCTTGAAGAAAAATCAAAGAATGCAAATATAAGTAATAAACAACGATTATTCAGTGAACATGGCATTATGAATAGCAATAGCTCTGCTGGCATATTTTCCATGATGCGCTAGCGCGCATCATGGAATATGCCAGCAGAGCAATAAGCCCTTTTTGCTTAACTGCGGGACTGAATATCGCGCATGCGCATAGGAACCCTGGGGTGGCAAAAAGAAAAACTTATCATGGTCGAAAAGTGTTGTGTCGTTGGGTGTACCAAAAGAGCTACGAAGGGTTGCAAGGTTTTTTTTCTTTAAGTTTCCCGTAAGTAAAACAAAAAGGCGAGCATGGGTTAATGCTGTTAATAGGAAGGGATGGTTACCAAACAAAAACAGTAGGATATGTAGTGAGCATTTTGAGACGGGTTGGCACTCGGACGATCGTGACGACCCCAACTACAGACCGACTCTATTTTCCTACAAATGTACACCTGAAGAGAACAGTGAACGATTTTCAAGAGCATATAGGAGAAACCTGACTAAGGTTTGCTTCTTTTTATTATAAAGTACGAATATTTACATCAACATTGGTTTATAATTAACGTCAACCCGAGATTCCTCTGTCGTGTTTTTACGCCCGTTAATTTGACTTGACATTTAGCGTGATTTGAGCTGGTCCCAATATTCCACGCTAAACACTTCGTATTGACTGTTGTACCAAATTTATATTTTAGGTGATTAAGAATTTACAATTAATTAGCATTTAATTATGCACAAGTCATGTTATATTTGAATGCATTAAATTATTAATATGTCATTTTCTGGTGATGCAGATTTTCCTGGTATAAAGACTCTTTGGTACAATTTCACATTCATTTTAGACTAGTGATTAGATTAATTGAAACTGTCCTCTTAACAATAGTGCAACTGACAAGCTGTTTAATTATTGAAATATTCAGTATGCAGTTGCTATTTGTTTTGAAAAGTTTCACAAACTACCCCATCTTTGCTGGTTGAAGTATGCTGGTCATTGATATGGGGAACCTGGATTCAAGTAGTGCCATAAAGTAAAATCTATCCATCTATGTTAAATTTACTGGTTAAATTTGATGGAAAAAAGTATTAGTCATATTTCTATGTAGTATATAACAGCATCTCTATATTATACAGTTATTGTACTATAAGCATGAAAAGTTTTTGTTTGTCGAAATGTGCATTGAATTTGTATATAGGCCAATACACAAGTCAAAAAAAATCTTAATGGAAAAAAAGCTGAACATCAGGTTTACCCCTTTTTTTATATACAAAATAAAGTTAATTTTTATTTGTAATATTATTGTAAGTTGTAATTTTTTTTCCTGTAGACTTTTGAGGAAGCAGCTGTAAAGCAAGAACATTTGGAGAGATGCAGATTAGAGGCATCTGTAAGAATGCACAGCTACAGTTTCCCAGAAGAGCTGCAGACATCCCCAGGAAAACTGTACAATGTCAAGGTATATCCTGAAGAGGATGACATTGATATAGGTGTAGTCATAACAGCTGATGAAGGTTTGGATTGGGTTTTTTTCCCCAAAAGTGTTCACTTTGAATTCGGCACACATTTAAGCACCAGATTTTTTTTTTTTTTAAAAAGAAGTCTCACAACTGCAGCGATATTGAGTAACGTGCATCAGCATGTTATGAAAATTACTTATTTGCACACACTGTTGCCATTATGAGATGTCATTCAAAAAATAATATTTCGGTGCTTATATCATGTATATTTACATACCCTTTAACTCCTTGCCTTGTCTGCAAATCATTTAAATTTGATATTTTGTTTTACTTCAAAATGTCTGTATTATCCTTTGGCTAAGTTACAATTAATGGAAGACTTATAGCAATTGCCAACTTTTTCAATGTGTGATTTTTGATTTTCATGTCTGACATTTACATTTGCCCTGCATTTAACATTTGTGATGTTCGCTATATCTGCAATTTTGTATACATGTAGCCGTATAAGGAATTTGTTAAATTTAAATAGCTGGGGATCCAAGATAACTTTGTTACATCCATGAATTCTCAATATCTGTGTTCATACTAAACAAGTTTTACTGTTTAAGCAAAGTTCATGTAGATTCAATGTAAATATCATATTTTGAATTCTTATATTGATAATGATTTTAGATGATGACATTTAAGTTGCTGGTAACTTTAATTAATGAAATCAATATTATTTCTTACACACATACAAAATCTGTATGTCTTAATGTGGTGGAGACCAATTGCATTGTACTACTCAATATATACATTTAGGTTCACAGTGTGACCCAGATCCTCTTCTTCAAGAAAATACTTTGTTGAAGGAGGAAAACATACTTTTGAAGGAAAAGCTTCACAAACTGCAATGGGGTGTGAACAAAATCAAAGATGATGATGTTGCAACTAGATTCTATACCGGATTGCCCAGCTTTGCTGTTTTCCTCTGGCTGTACAAGTAGAGTATTTTTTTATTAATATATTCTTAAATGGGCATTCTATATTTGATACAAAGGCATGTAATACTGTAAATCACGTTTTATTCGCGAGATTGTATTTAAGAAATAAAGTCTGCGTTTTCGTGAATGTTGCAGAATAACCTTCAAGGTCGAGAAACTTCTCTTCAAGGTCGAGAAATATTGTTTGAAAGATAAATGCCGAGGTGTTAGCCGAGGCTTTTATATTTCAAACAACATTTCGAGACCGAGGAGGTTATTCTGCATCATCCACGACAACAAGGACTTTATTTTTATTCTACCAAGATCGATAAATACGGCTGATCGTTTCCTCTAAAGAGAAATGAATTAGGTCACCATGTCTCGATTATGCTGTTCCATTTAACACCAGAGGTAAAATTTGTTTGCTTACCTGTGTATGGAATGCAGACGATCTTAGTTTTTGTTACATTAAAAATAGCCTTCATAAATTACAAATTTGTTCGTTATATGTATTGATTTATTTTAATAAATATACAATAACAAAATCATGTTCCTGTTTTACTGCTAAAATCACATTGTTTAATGTGTAGGGAGGTCCGTGGAATAGCCCCGCTTAGCTATAAAAACCGACTTCATCAGCAAACTTAATGAAATTTACAGTGTTTATTTCTTACAAAGACGACACATCGATGCGGTCTAAACAAGTATTCATTCTACAGCCAAACATGCATTTGAATTGTTTTAATTTGATACATGTTTCTGATCTGAAAATTATTTGATGACGTTCGTGATTTATTGGAGAATAATGTCCAGCGGTTTCCTTTGATGTTTTCAAAAATCGTGCCACTGGTAGAATTTCTCGTAATTAAGCGAGACAGTGAGCTCGCGAAAATTTCTTTCTCGCGTTTAAAATTATTCCTTATAATTACATAGAGGAAAAACAACAATTCGTGAAAATTATGTCTCGCTAATAAACAGTCAATGATTATCTCGCGAAAATAAAGTGTCACGAAAATTCAGTGATCTACAGTATCAAGTAAATTATAATAGAAAAAGAGTTTTTAAAAATTTTGCAAAGTGAAGGTATCTTCTTATGATTAGAACAGAAAAATCTTTTCATATGGGGGGCAAATTATCGAGTATACATTTAAATATACCCCACCCCCCCCCCACTTGAAAAGTGGATGGGTGTATAATGATTGGGATGTCTGTATGTTATGCTTTTGGGTACCCTTCTCTTATCTGGAATTCCTCTCATACATGTGGCAGCAGGTGATACCATTTAGTGAGCTCAGTGCTCACATTACCACTTATTTTCTTTTGCAGTTTCCTACTTCCAAAGGCAAGGTGCATGACCTACTGGGTTGGTGAAGGTACATCTGAGACAGGAAGACAGCGGCCAAATAAAAGCACTCTCCCTCTCATTGACCAGTTGCTGGCAGTTCTTATGCGTCTGAAGGTTGCGCTTCTAGTAACTGATATTGCTGAACGATTTGGAATTTCACCTTCAAGATTTTCTTCCATCTTTACAACATGGATTTGCCTTCTTCATGCAGAGCTCTGTGCTCTGAATAAGTTTCCCTCAAGAGAAAAAATTGCATCTTGTTTGCCTGAATGCATGAAAAAGTTTCCAAATTTAAGAGTAATTCTCGACTGTACTGAAATATATATACAGAAATCATCAAGTTTAGTTAACCAGAATTTAAACTTTTTCAAATTATAAACATCATACGACAATGAAGTTTTTGATAGGGATTTCACCTGCTGGAGTTATTTCTTTTGTGTCAAATGCTTGGGGTGGAAAAACTTCAGACAGGCAGATGGTTATTGATAGGGGGTTTTTGGATTTATTAGAACCAGGAGACAATGTAATGGCTGATAAAGGTTTTACAATTAGAGATTTACTGCATGAAAGAGGTTGTACTTTAAACATTCCACCATTCAACACTAAAGGACAATTTTCAGTTGATGAAATTCTGTACACACAAGAAATTGCAAAGGTTCGCATTCATGTCGAGAGAAGTATAGGTAGGATTAAATGTTTTCATATTTTTGATGGTGTAATGCCACTTTCACTTGCACCTTTGTTAAATCAAATGTTTCAAGTTGCTAGTTTCTTGACAAATCTTGATGTTCCACTCATTGAAAATTAAATGTACAAAGAGATTTTATTCTAAGTCACTCAATGAAATATCTCAATAAAATGTCAATTTTGTAGCACACATTGATGAAATAGAAATGAGAGTATCAGTATCTGAGTATATGTTGGTTAGATGCTTAGAAGGTATATTTGAAGGTACTGTAAATCACTTTTTATTAGCGAGAACTTAATTTTAGCGTGATTACGCGAGAGAGTGTGATCGCGAAAATTTAATTCTCGCGTATAATAGTATTCCTTAAAATTATATAGAGGAATAATCACAATTCGTGAAAATAATGTCTCGCTTATCAAGAGTCGATGACTATCACGCGAAAATAAGAAATCGCGTAAATTTAGTGATCTACAGTATATTGGGTACTTGAAAAATGTAGGGGGGCATATGCTGTTTATATGTTTTATGTGTAACTTTTATTGAATTTTACCCTTGTGAACCCCAACCAATCTTTAATAACAACTTTACCTATACATGTAAAAAAGTGAATTCAAGAATGAATCTTTTTATTTTCTTAATTACGGATTTGCAGTTTGCAATCTCTATTTTTGGTTATAAAATGCAAATGTATTAGTTAGGTCACATGAAATATATTGTCAAAATTAAAAGCTTTTGTATTTGAATAAATGCCTACTATTTTTAACTCAAAGAAAACAAATCTGTAGATAGAGTTTATGTATTTTTAAGATGTTCCTACACATGTATTTTTAAACTGTTCTTATATGTCATAGAAAATGCACCAAAATCAGTCGTTATTATATACTCTAATATTTACTCTAATTTGTTTAAAAAAATTTATGCATCTTATTGTAGCCAAATCAATGAATACAAGATTTTGGACTTAAAATATACTGTTTCACTTATATTTAATAAGATAGCTTCAGTAGAAATATTTCAATCCACATGAAAAATTTAATTTACATGTAAGTGGATCAACGCGGACGTGGGGAAAACATTGGATTGAAATTTGAGTTTGAAATTCATTTTCAATCCACCTGAGCTGTCTTCAAAAGCAAAGTGTGCATATATGATCCAAAAGACAAATATTTCAATTCCCAAATATATGTTGGTTGAAATTTATACTGATATGAATTTATTAGCCTATAATATAATCTTAAGACACTGGTAAAAGTCATAGAAGACATTTTCTGGAGACGGCCATATATATATATGATTCTAGAGGGAAGGGGGGGGGGCAAATTGTCGAGTCAGATTATGCTTTGTATATAACAATTAATTTTTAGGATGACAAGAGTTTTTTTAGTTTTGTCTTCGATGAAATATGTTTGACAGCTTTCTTATTTATTTCCAAGACCATTAAGCCTCTCCAACCCACGCATACATAATACCAAACAGAAATAAAATATATGTCCCTTCATGTATTGTTTTAAAACGGTGGACAGAAAATTCATATTTATATACAGTGCATTATTTTCAAACGATACCAAAAATGGGATTATTTGTTTTCTGTGTCAATCAGTAATAATGTGCCTTCCGTTCTAGAGCTGAGGGATTAAAATGAAATGCAATTGTGAACTGCCCGGCCTTGTACCTATCGATCGACCATAAAGTGGACGATCGTCGAGAATGGCAGATCGGGTATAGCGTCCGCGACTAAGGGTAGTACAGACTGTACCTCGGTAAAATGGGGGGTATCTAGAGGGCTGCCATCGAAATGAATGGATATGTTTAAATTTAGGATGGAGTTGACTATTTCCAATATGTCTTTTTTTCAAAGATCACCCCAACTCCTCTGCTAAGTGCTGTAACGAATTTTTTTTTAGCTTGTTTAAACTTTCCCGGATCGCCATCTTACTCTATGTAAACACTGCCGTAACCAAGGCTTTGCGGAAATTAGTTACGTATTTCACAGTCATATTATTGGGAATAAAAAGAAAAAAAGGCTCCTTAAAAAGAAAATTTAAATTTATTTACAAAATTTTACTTAATAATTTATTGCAAAACTTTTATTCATGTTAATGTCAAAGTACACGTGAATCTTTGCCACTCTTCTCTTTTGCCACCCCTGAAGCGTTATGCGCATGCGTGCATATTATCATGAAAGAGTCTATTAGCCCCTTCACCGTAACTGCGATACTACACTTTTGCAGGGCAAAATAATATCGTTTAGCGAAGTTTTTGTTGAGAGATAATTAAATGACGTATATTTAACAATTACTTTTACGTCATATTTCACCAAACTATATTATTTTGCCCTGCAAAAGAGCAGTACCGCAATTATCGTGAAACGGTCTATTGCTATTCATAACGCCATGTTCACTGAATAACGTTGTTTATTTCTTAAATATTTTTTGCGCGCTTTTGGGGAGAATTTCTCTACTTTCAAGCATTGGTCAATCAACTACCTTTCACTCCCTAATTCTAGACACATTCTGTAGCCAATATTTATATTTTATCCACCTTTCAACCTATTGTAGTTGTCTCTACAGGCAATAAAGTCGCTAGAAGTGAATTTTCAGCAATCTAACAAATAATTTTAATCAAGCGAGTTTATCACTTGTAGAGACGAGTATAAAGGATTGGGAGGTGTATAAAATATACTTATTGGCTACAGAATGTGTCTAGAATTAGGGAGTGAAAGGTAGTTGATTGACCAACGCTTGAAAGTAGAGAAATTCTCCCCAAAAGCGCGCAAAAAATATCTGAAACTTATAAAGACAAACTAGAATATAAAAAAGAGGAAAGAGAGATAAAGAAAAGGGGCTAGTTTAAAATAAAATTTAAAAACCAACAGATTTTATCAGAAATGGGAAAGATATTATTAAAATCTTATTGGAGATTTCTTATTATGTCATGCGACTCTATATTTAGTATTTGAAAGAAATCAGACACGTACTATCGATTTTGAAGGATTTGGGAGGGAAATCAGACAAAATAAATTAACAACTTATCTGATAAAACTTTGAAATGAAAATAAAATTTAAAAAATGAAGCAAACCAACGACCCCAAAGAAAATGGTCTGAACTCGAAACGGGGTCACACTTTCTAAATTTTATCAAAGGCCGAAATGTATTACCAAAACAGTACGATGTAACAATGTTACAACAAAAGAAGGGGACAGACTTTCAATGAATATCTATATAATTTTAAATTTCAAAAGTAAAATGTTATGTTTTAGAGGGGGGGGGGGGGGCTCGAGATCGCTACTACGAGCCTGTAAATATTGCATATCTGTTATCTAAAAAAAACAACAACATTTGTTTACTGTATATTTTCATGTCCGAACCTTGGTCAGATACGTTCGAACCATGGTAAAAATCGCTTGATGAATTTAACTTCTAGTTTGAACAGAGGTATTCAGTGTTTTGGTGATATATTGACAATTGATAACACCCGAAAGGTTCCAAAACACTTTCCAGTTGATAGTACAGGTCTAGACCACTGTCACTCGGAACAACAGCTTATAGCTTGTAAGCAAAACAAGAACCGTCCGAACCATGGTCAGTTTGCCCTAAATCAGACTAAACAACCAGAAATTATATCACAGAATAATTTACAATTTAAGCATTACTTAATTTCATTTTATTGCACGACTAGTTAGGGTATGTACAACACATCCATAAGAAATAAACACACCGTTTTTGACTGCATGATGAGCGTATTTTTTTTTTTAGCTGCATGAGTATTAATACACCTTAACTTTATGAGAATTTAACTACACTTTAGTGCACTGGACATCAATGCAATGTCAATTCAAATATGTTGAATTAAAACCTGATTGAGAAAAAGATTAAAAAATCTTTTTATTTTTGTGTTCTGGAAAAAGGTTAAGAAAACAGAGTGGAGGAAATTTTTTTTCAAATTTATTAAATTTCTTCTGTGTGATATGTATCAAAATTAATAACCAATAATCATATCGAAGGACTTTTCGGACAAAGTTACATAAGTATGATGTATTGTTGCTTTATTTAATTTCATCAAACGACTATAGTTTGAGTATGCGCAACACATCAACACTACTCTTTGACTGACAATTGGATTTTTTTTTTATTTGCGTGAAAATTAGTATATCTAATATTAATAAAAATTTAACTGCACTTTGTTGCACCGGACAACAATGTAATTAAAGTCAAAATAAATTCATTAAAATTCGGTTAACCAGTAATCATATGGAAGGACTTTTCAACAAAGTTCAGTATAGTTTAATTTTATTTCTGGATGGAATATTCTTATTAACATTTTTGGGTATGAATCATTGAATTGCCAAATTGCTTATTTTTGACAAACAATTAGTTTTGCCTAATTATAAATCTCGTTTTTTATAAAATTGATGAGTACAAATATTGAGTGTGAAGCAGATAGGCACTAGCAAAGATTTATTCTGATATATAACTGTACTTACAACTGAGTTGTCATCAAACAACAGTAACTTTCACTGATTTTTATATGTATAACAAAAGACTGATTTGGATACATTCGAAACATCCAGAAGAAACTTTGTATTAAGTGAAGTTTTTTCCCTACAAACTAATAATTCTGCGTTTAGATAAAGATATAATTGCACTGCAGTGTTTTGCAGTCTAATATGCTTGATGTACTGTCTATGTAAACAAACCTGATCAATGTTTATTTAGTTACGATTTCATGGGAAATATGTTGAAAATGTACATGTACTCTTTTCCAAATGTGGTGTCTATTCCTAAAAACAGACTTGATGGAATAAGTAAAAATATTAATATTTACTACATAAACTTGAATAGGATTGTTTTTAAGTATGCACCTTAATTTTCAACTGATAATAACGACGAAATACTATAATAAAGTTGCATTTTGCTGCTGTGTTGTACTTGTTTGGGAAGGCCAATACGTTGAAAAGCGGCTGAGCTTTCGTGTTTGACTGTTGAGTAATCAATCATTTTGAGACTCAACCAAACAAAGCGGCGAGTTCCTTTCTAGGACTAACAACAGTTTTCATCAGTTCTGCATAGCCGTACCTGTAATGAGATTAACTCACACTAAATATTAACTGAAAACCCTACATGAGGGTTGTTTGTTCACAGTTTAATATCGAAAAGTCTTATATATAGTTTATAAGCTTGTTCCTCATTAACATTGTTTAAACATTTGCATATTTATAAAGCAAAGATCAAAGATCGTTTTGTCTACGTTATTCAAAGGGCCATAATTTAATTATCGAACTT